AAAGGAAATGAACTAATGGCAGCTACACTGTGGGAAGCATGGCTGCAGAGCAGTGTTAATCAGTGGTGGCTTCTGCTCATGTGACTTTTTCTCCCCATCTCGTACGCAGAACTGTCATAGCTAGGTATCTCTACCATTTAGTTAGGCAGATTTTAAAACCTGTTTGAATGACAGTAGTACATAGGGGGGAAGAAAGCAAACATCTTTCCTTCCAGAGTGATAATGAGGTGGAGTTGCTGAGGCAGAATTCTTTTTGGTTGGTTTTTTTTTTTTTTTAATTGCTTTATAGCACCTGCAATAAGGCAGATGTCTTATGGAAGAATCACCATCTTTGCCTCGGAAAGTCCATAGGCCAAACTTCAGCTGCAATAAAATGAGTTATAAAAAGGGAGAACAGATAAACAAGGACAAGGTTCACATCCACGCAATCTTAAAGGATGTCCCTAGGATGTCTACTTTCAAAGAAGGCAAGAATGTTAGAGTTACATTTTTTCACGAGCTGCTTGTGGGGAGTGCATAAAGACTTAGCAAAGAACAATTGCGAGTTAAAAGAAGAATGGGAAAATAACTTTGTGAATGAGAGTAGAGACAAACTTCCATTAAGTTGAAGCCTGTGTCCCATTCGGTTCCTCTCTGCTCATGGTTTGTTAAATGATTTGTTTTCGGTCATTAATAGTCTCATACAAATATGGAGAAAATACAAGAAAACATGTTTAAAAGAATAAACCTATTTGCTGTATCTGAAGTCTTTGGTTCTGAGCACACAGTGCACAATCCTTTACTGTCACATCAGTGGTTAGTTAGGTTTGCCAGCCATTTACAACCTTCACATTCGAATGGAAATATTTATTGAGCAATGTATAATATACTTTCTAGAACTATAGTACCTATATTTTTGTCATCCTGGGATTTTTTTTTTCCATTTTTTTTAAATGACAGACCATCCCAGTCTTTTCAATAGCCTTGTCTCTAACTTGCATAGTTGTTAAATAGCTTCAGTTCAGTTGATTTTTTTTTTGATACCTGAATGTAAACTGCTTTTACATACATTATGTGTGTCTGATTAACACCTTTCTTTTATGAAAATAATAAATTTAAATTTTACAGAACTAGCCTGAAAGCAATTATCTGTAGGAAAAGCAATGTTAAAATCCTACCTAGTACATTCGTGGGATCATGCACAAACTTAATACCTGATTTGAAAGGGTTTAAGTTCTCATTTATTTTGCTACTCTGAAAAAGGATTTCAGCTTGGAGTGATGTGAGTGAGCCGAAGACCCATCGGTAGAGAACAATAATTAATGAGACAGCATGTCTAGTGCTTACTCCATATACCTAACTGTCTCTATTCTGTATCATATTCAGTTTTCATCCTGTGACCTACTGCTATGCTTTATGATCTTCTTATTTTTCATCTTTACAGGCCTTATAGCAATGCTGTATGACAAATACAGAGAAAATATATAGTTACTTTTGACAAAAAAGGGCAAAGGTATGTTTCAACAGAATGAAGACAATTTAAGCTTTTGTATGCAGGGATAAAACTTCAGAGAGGCAGTAGACAGGAGGAAGAATTAAGTTGTGTTTAGAATATGTTCATATTGTGGCCAGCGAGGCAGACTGACTAAAATAAAAAATGTGGGAATACAAAGGTGGAATTACCTAAGCATTATGAGATACAGTGAAGGGATTTTGTAGCTTGAGGTGAAATTAACAAAGTCATCATAATAAATCCTTCTATTATTTGCTAATCTATTACTTGGATATAGAGTGAACCAAAGAGGTGGGGTGATCCCATTGCTTGAATGCAGAGCTGGGTCTAGCAGAGTCTGTCTGGGAGGCTTTTTGTCTCAACAATTTAGAAATTGTGGGACTTCTTCTGGAGCACTTTATCCCCAGTACATCTCTTCCTGAAATGCAGCTCTTTTCCCTTTGTTGATCTGTTCCCATCTAACAGGCAGGTGGTGGTAGATGGAAGAGAAATGTCCCTACCTGCTTTGAAATACTGGCACTCTGGGGCAGTAGTTGATGGAATGGGCAATTCCTCAGTTCTCAGGGCTGCAGGAATTGCATTCTACTTAATCATACAGCTTCCTGCTTTCCTTCTCAGTATCTACATAAGGTACCGGTTAACCTGAACATGTGTGAAACTCTCGCTTTTCTCTCCTGAAGTAATTTTTGTTGAAAACCCAGAGTGGGGAGAAACTGCACCTGATTCTGGTTGTGGATTGGAGAGAAATCCAGGAGTCCCACTACCAAGACCAGAGTATGCTGGACATGTGGCATGGAGCACTGAGCTAGCATAAACTCGCTGTGCATTGAGGTGTGTTCAGGAGGCGATGCCACATTAATTGTGAGGGGGTAGGCTCGTTGCTAGTTCAGACTTCACTTGTCCTCCTGCAGCCGGTAGCATACCAAATACAAATCCTATACAACTTGTTGTATGCTGCGAGGGTGTGATTTTTGTTACTCAGCTGGGTGGCTGGCATTAGTGCTGGTGTGAATCGGGGAACTGATCCTGTTGAACACTTGTTTTG